AAAATAACAGGTACACATTACTATATTGTTTTTGGAACTTAAAGTACATTAATTTTTCAATGCAAGAGTCAATCTAAATAATGTTACATGTTTGACTAAAATGAATAACAAGAATAAAATTGCTAAACAATCAAAATTTTCAATTTGGAGCCATTATAAGGTAACTAATATATTCAAAAACTTCTAATAACTATGTACATTAAATATGGGTATATTAGTAAAATAACAAACTAACTACTCTTTAAAAATGAAAATAATCCTATAATTTGGGACAAACATAAAAGGAAAGTGAACCTATCATTTTGGGATGGAGGAGTAATATGTTGAAATAAAAGAGACAAATCTAAATTGAAAATTCGTGTCCTGTGTTACTTTCCCACTTCGTATGGCTGTAGCCGGTATGCATCCATTGCATTCCATACACAGTGGTAGGTGTTCTTTTCAGTTTCTCTTTACTTCTAGCACACCATTAAAATTTAGGGCGACAAACCTCAACGGTCACTAACAATTAGTTGGGTCAAGTTTGGCCATCAAACAATTTTTCGTCACAAGTTAGCCACTAAACTAAGAAATCAGTATACTCATGACCATTGAATTAATTAATGCTCTCAATCTATGAAATAAGTAGAATGCATGACAAACTGCATGGGTAGTTTTGTCCACCACTTACCTGATTAAGAGCAAAACTATGCCACGTATTATTCTTATTTCATAAACTAAGAATATTAATAGATGCAATGGTTACGGGTATACTGATTAGTTATTGTTTGATGGTCAAAACTTGATCCGACTAATAGTTTAGTTGTCGCTGAAATTTTTTGCTCTAAAACTCAAGTGGAGGCGTCTTTATAACTTTCTTGCGACATAAGATTTGACATCCAAATTAATTTTTTTTTTCATGTGTAGCACGAGATATGCTTTTTTGTTCCCTTAGTAACTGCTGTCAAATAAATAAAATTTAGAAAAAATCGTCCAAAGCATCCCTCACATTTTGTAAAATGACTTTTTTCGTCCCTCACTTTTAAAAGTATACTTTTACGTCCCTTACAAATTTACATTTATCAAATTTGGTCCCTATCTTAGTCTCCGATTAGTTTTTGGTCGAAATCCACCACGTGCCTTGCATATGATCATTTTTTAAGGGTAAAATTGTTAAATCAAAATTTACATAATTCGATCCATAGTCCCTCACATTTCATGAAATAACCTTTTTTGTCCCTCACATTTCACAAAATGAATTTTTTTTATCCTTCATAGTTTACAAAATAAAATTTTTCATCCCTCATTGATCATGTGTACGAATAACTTTTTTTTAAACTCATATATATATATTTTTTATTTCGACTGAATAATACGAATAGCATATAATATATCTCTATTTGATTTTGTCTGAATGTACTGTTTAGGTGAAATTAAATAGATATATACAGGAGTTTAAAAAACTTATTAGTTTTTCACTCATATTCATTTCCTTTTACTCGAAAATTGAAAATAAAGAAGACATTTAATCCTAAACATTATCAAGTGTTTATATCGAATTAAATTTGGACAGAAAAAATAAATAAAAGAAAAGTATGACAAAAAGAAGTAAGTGATTGGCATTTTCAAATTTTAAGACAATTACAAGATAAGAAATTCAACTGTTGTAGCGAGTAAAAATTTCAGATTTAAATTATAATTTGTTAAGATGACTATAGAATTCGAAATAAGACCAATTAATTAGATGACCTTATTACACAACTCAATAAATGAATTATTACCAAAAGAGAAATGTTACAAATATTGAAGAGATTCACATGGTAAAATCAAATATATATATATATATATATATATATGGGTTTAGAACACAATTGTTAGATTTAAACCCATGTATATATCTATTGAATAGCACGTATATAATTACAATTAGTCTGTTTAGATGAAATCAAATAGAGATATATTATATGCTATTTGTATTGTTCGGGTGAAATCAAATAGATATATACATGGATTTAAAAAAACTATTTATACACATGGTTAATGAGGGGTGAAAAAATTCATTTTGTCAAATGTGAGGGATTAAAACATTTATTTTGTAAAATGTGAGGGACGAAACAATTCATTTTGTAAAATGTAAGGAACTATAGATCAAATTATTTAAATTTTAATTTGACAATTTTACCCCTAAAAAATGATCGCGTGCAAGGCACGTGATAAATTCAGGTCAAAAACTAGTCGAAAATCTAGTTAGGGATTAAATTTGACCAATGTGAATTTGTAAAGGACATAAAAATATACTTTTAAAAGTGAGGGACGAAAAAGTTATTTTACAAAATGTGAGGGACGCTTTGAACGATTTTCCCTAAATTTTAATAAAACTTCATTAAATTTCAGTGCTTGTTCTATTTACAGTTTTCACAAAATCCTTGACTGTTATTTAGAACCCAATTTCAGTGCTTGTGCTGTTTACAATTATCACAGAATTTTTGACTTTGTTAATTCAGAAACACCCCCCCCCCCCTTATATTGGTTGAACGTTATATATTTTTAGTGTAGCATACAACTGGTGCATTTGGTGTACCAGTCTAAAAATTCAATAGTATCTCCTAATGGTTGTATCAACAATAGAAAATATATACAAGAAGAAATGGTATAAACATAAGGGATAACAACTATATTTTTCCTTGTAATATTTACTAAATAAAAATTTCATACTCAATATTCGTAAAAGTATAGCTTACCACTCTAGATTGAATCCTCTGCGTTCATTGATTGTGTGAAAATGTATATTCATAAAAGTATACGTACAAAAGAATTATTCTCAATCATATAACAATGTAAGTGCACATACATGTTGCATGCGCGTAACCTCATTGAATAGTGGGTGGTGACAAAAGTTGATACTCAGGATAATAAAAAGCACATAAACGACTAAAACAAGATAGCTTATTTGTATATGAACTTCAAAACTTTAAGCTAGTTCTTCAAAGTTAAGATTCTTTATTGATAAGAGATAAGTTTACAAAAGAGAAATTTTCTAGAGATAGTGTGTGTTTAAGAGAGAATTTTTATCAAGAAAATTGTAAGAAGATCGGTTGGTTTCATGAGATCATGTATAGTCTATTTATAGAATTTCTATCTAGTCTAATATAAGAGAAATTCGATAACATCATTGCTTACATAGTAAAATTTGTTTTTGGGATAATTTCAGAAACCTCCCCTAAGTTTTTTGATAATTTCATTGAGCTTCCCTAAAATTTTAGAAATTACACTTACCTCCCTTATCCACCTAAAATGACAATGCTAGCCTTAACAGTTAAATAAAACTCCATTTTTAGTATGTATATAAAAAAGAATGGGATTTATAATTATTTTCTTTTCATTTTCTCTTCTTGTTCCTCATTTCTTTTTATATTTTTTATAGTAAAACTATGGAACTATAAACACCAACATTAAATGTCAAACTAGTGAATTTTTCTTTGAGAACTTTTAATGTGATCCAATTTTATTTGTCAATCTTTTTTCTTTTTTTTTGTATTAAAAGCAATACTAACTAACTGAAAAAAAAGGTCCAAAACTACTATTGCAAAGCATTATGATAGTTTCATGCATCTAAAAAGCAACCAACTCTAAAAGCATTATGATGACACTCTCTTCTCTAATTTACAAAGAATAAGTTTGGTATTGAAAAATATTTTATCATAGTATAGAATTATTGTCATTTTTGCTTATCAAACAATAAATTTGATATTGAAAACTTGACAATCTTTTCTTATACGTAGACTAATTATATTATTATTGCTTTAGAAAGTAATTGAACTTTATAAGGTGAGGGTATTTTGGGGTATTCATTTAAATTTTTTACCAAGTCCAAAGTTTGGTTACAAAAGGTGTCAAATCAAGAGAGGTAAGTGTAATTTTTCAAAACTCAAGGGAGCTCAGTGAAATTAGCAGATAACTCAGGGGAGATTTATGAAATTATCCCTTTGTTTTTTTGTATGTTCTTTCGTGTGAATCATTTGTATTTTTGTGGGGCTCAACCTTAGATTTTGTCTATTTAGTATTTACCGACTATTGAAGAATCGGAATCTTTTGTAATATAGCCCAGATTCGATGGACATATCTTTGAAAAAAATAACTTATCTTGTTTCTTTTGTGTGTCTAAGGAGGATTTTCTTGATTTTTCAATCATCGTTATTATTTGTTGTGCTAGTGACCTTGGATAGATCCTAAAAAAAATTTCTTCATAGAGACATTTGTATTTGTATTTTCATTTTCCAAAGTAGAGGTTCCGACTTCAATTTGCATCATTGAGCTTTCAAGGATATCCTTTTCCTTTTTTTCCTTTAGCCTAATGAAAAGCATCTTCAATTTGTTTTGCTAGTTCCTGAAGCAGCTCTGTTTTCATTTGTTATGCAGACATGTTAGATTTGCATTGAATTTGTTCAAGTCTGCTTAAGGTCCAGATGCATAATTGGAGTCCTTGGGACTTGTGGATTGGAAAATTCTCCATCTTCCCTTGCTCAAATTCAAGCAATCTATCCAGGATAGTATTTGCATAGATGATCGTGCCATCAGACTCAAATGCTTAGAAAAATTGCCTCAAATATATATATATATATACATATATATATTATATATGTGTGTGAGTGTGTGTTAATCTCTTCAAGCTGGTAATAGTTGCCCCGCTTGGTCAAACAACTAAAAAAGCAAGCAATTTTTTGGCCGACAATCATCTAGGGTTATCTTTCCAAACTAACGCCCAGTTTGATAACTTAATTCAACACTTAAACTTAATAAATTTAGATCTTAACATATTCAGACGCATTTGATAACAAAAAATTAAACATCTAAATTATTTAACTGACACTGAATTTTTTAGACAAAACTTGCTCCCAAAATTAAGTAATAAATTAATTCATTTACACTGAATATAATATGCACTCAAATGCATTTAATTTAATACTTAACAATTCAACAACTTAATGGATTCAAACTTCAGTTTTCAGACTTCAATTTTATCAAATACACCCTAAGTTAATAAAATAATTATGTGAAGCAGCAGTTAAAGCTCAGCAGCAGCTGTTAAATGGCCTAGCAGGTTCTTGGCTAGATAATAAAACGTGTAAACAACAGAATGGTGCACAAAATTTGCAAGAGAGCAATTATTGGTCTTGTAATGGAACTAGGACACTCGTTCGAATCAGGTGATTACATAAAGCCCCAAATAGTTTTAACACTGTTTCATCTGAAAGAACACTTCCATGGGCGAAGGATCCTTTGAAAGCTATAAACAAATGTCTTCTCGGCTTACAGCATTCATCTTCTCATCAGTGATCAGCCACCTTGACTCTTTGCCGACAGGTTGATGCTAGAGAAGATGACAGACCCAAAGAATTACATGCAAAAAGAGCTTCATGTGAGAGACATGAGTGAACGCAGTCATTTAAAGGTGGGGAAAAAATCATCAGCCCTATTTGACAGAAGAGCCACATTAATGTACAGAAGGCTCTGGTATAGCAAGTAACCATTCGACTGCAGCTGTCCCAGAATTTGTCTCCCAAGTTTGTAGTTGCAGTGTTGCTTGGTTAGCTCCACATGATTTGAAGTTATAATTTACAGAAGTTCCCACATCAATTCTACTGTTTGCTTTCCGAGCCTCCAGAGGATCCTTCAGCTGTAATAGGTGGCTTCTCCGGATGGAGAGAGTCATCATTCTGGGAGTTTGGTTTAACATCTCCTGATTCTGAAGGTCGGGAACCAGAGGTGACATCTGATGATTCCTGTAATATTCCAACCTCAGTTTCAAGAGCGTCTACAGGTACATCAGCATCAGATGGAGAAGCATCTGTTGAAGCTGGGCTCACTTCATCCACCTGATCCTTAGATTCTACTTGAAGCTCACCATTTGGTAAGCACGGCGGCCGAGCTGTATCATCCAAATCAGAAGTTGGGTCAGAGGTTTCACCATATTCAGAGCTTTCCCTCCATTCAACCCATTCAGGTGGCTTATCACTCTCTGTTTCTGTCTCTCTCGATTTCTTCGGCATATCCTCTGTTGCAGGATCATTTAGGCTTGGCTTTGATTCAGGGAATTCAGAAGTTGCAGTATCTGCCAAATCATCATCTCCATGAAGAATATTCTTCTCGTGAGCCCCCGTCCCCTCGATTTTCGGTGATGGTGAAGCAACTGTGCCAGTTGATCGCTCATTGACAGTGTTGTCATCTTCGAAAGCGAACCAGTTGGAATTCGTGAAAAGAGAGCTACTGCAAGCATGTGCAAGTTAGAGATACAACCACCATTACACCAATAAACTAGAGCTGAATAAACAAAAACAGGAAGGAGCCCACAATTTAAGGAATCTGAAATAATGTAGGATCCATGTGGTGACAAAATGTCAGACATAAAAATGCTCCATGAGGAGAAATGAGAAGAGCTCAGAAACTGTAAAGCAGAATATTAAAACCCCAAAACCAGAAATGTCGTGATAAATCTCATGAAATCAGAAATGCTTCATGTGCTTACAAATCTTACCAAGTACAGCCATGTGCCATCATAAAAAATGAGAAAAGATGTGTGTAGGAAGTCTCCACAAAACAAGCTACGAACTTGACATACCTTTCTTGGTCATCTCCAAGACGAAGAGAAGATATGACAACTTCAGCAGATTCGTCATCAAAGTAGACATCCTGCAAGATAATTATCCAAACGTCTGAAGTCAACAATGCATAAAAAGTTTCAAAATGTTTAATGGAAAGTTTCCAAGAGAATGGCAGCCATCTAAATTGTGATCTTTTCTAAACTACATTGATTTTTCTTCCTTCATTAGGCAGCTTTCTCTGCTGTACAGACAATAAATTTAATTGACAAACAAAGCAAAGGTCCTGTTTATCCTGGTTAATGTTAGAACGCCCATATAGACAACAGACTGGATATGCTCTGAGGAGTTTATTTACATCCAACCAAAAGCCTAGTCAAGACACGGTCCAGGAAAGGTAGCCCTGATCCAAGTGAAATCAGTAATCTATTTAAGAATCCGCATAAAAGCAGCGTTAAGTGCCTTAAAGCAAACTGAAAAAACAATTTCCCAAAAAAAGTGATCATTCTGCAACAGTACATTGAACATATAAAAACCGTCACATTATCCTCTTCCTATTTAATATTCTGCAACTTTAGTTAGAGTTTCACAATTTAATTGACTAAAATGACCCACTTACTTCGCAAGATATTTACTCATCCTCAATTAATCCAACTCCCAGTGCAATTGGAAAATAAAGAAGGCAAGTTCATGAGAAAAGTCAACAAAAACAAACCTCATCATCTCGTTCCAGCGAGCCATGAGTCTGCACACAGCAACAAACAATGTATTCATGTAACTGATGGGAAAATACTAACTAAAAACCAAGTGCTAAACAGTATTTTATCCAGACACTCCACTAACAATGAGTGCCTCTAACCACTTGAAAAGTAAATAGATACAGTTAAAACAGACATATATATGCACGAATAATGCATATGCAATCAGGATATTTTTTAAAAAATGATAAGGTAGAAGATAATAATTACCATTCGCTAAACAACCTCAACAACCTAATAGGTAGGAAATTATATGAAAACAAGTGAATAAATAAATACACAGGACAGGATTAACTAATTTTGTAGCAAGGAAAAGATGCAACACTACATTGAAACCATATCAGTTTTAAAGTCATAAATTTCAAAATTTCTACAGCTTAAGTTGAAAATGAGACAATTATTTTTACTCCTGTTCATGGTAGATGTGGCCATTTTTCCACTTTCCATGCAGGATAGTTTCACACACCTCCAACTAAGGAATAAACAAATAAAAGCACACAAGTTTGATGCTTAATGTTTAAAGATCTCTCTCTACCCCATCCTTTCCCACCGTTCCTCCTACAGTCTCCCTCTTTAATGTTTGACGCAATACACAACTGATATTAGCCACATGGAAGAAGAAAAAGGCATCAGATAACTAGCAAGAATTCCTTTGAAATGGATAGTATGAGCAAGGGCTTCTCTTAACCTGCTTCCTCAGGTCCTAATCTACTCTCAAGCACAGAAAGTTGCAACCATGAACCACCCAATAGTAGGAAAAAAGCAATATGAGGAACAACACATCAGTAACATAAACCAGCAACTCAAACCAATGTCATTTGAAGATTCTGGAAAAAGCAGTAAAATTCAAGTGTCAAAACAAAGTAGAAATGCTTGCTGTTAAACATTGGACTTGACATAATGTCTGCGTGTGCAGAGCTTGCAGAAAATACAGGCAGATCAATCACAGCATTGATTCTTCCAATCCAGTGAAAATTACTTAAACAGAATACCAAAACTCTTCAAAATCGAATATCATCCTTACTGTTTACTGTGGCAACAATAAATTAATGCTTTATTTCACAATTGATGAAAACATGGATGCCTTAAAAGATGCAACAGATAGTATTCTTCTTCAGTTCATCAATTCTTGAGATGCACAGTCATTCCGCAACCAAAAGCAAACAGATAATACTAATATGAAACACAAACACGTAGAAGAAATTTTTTGCAAGTTATAAAGAGCACCTCATCAATATCATCATTGCTATAGATCCCATAGCGGAAGGCCTGGCTTAAGTTATTAGCTAAAGCAGCAACATCATAATCTCTATCTTGGTAATCATCATCATCACTATCCCTTGCCCGATCCTGCAGTGCTGTGGGTCTCCTGTAAGAGTGGATAAAATGAGTGTTAGCAAACTGCACAAGTTTGAAAAGAGAGCAGAGATTATAAGCATTATGAAAACGGACACAGCAAACTAAAAATGCCAAGTCCCACAAGGACAAAGCAAAAGAACTCTACATTTAGCACATGCACACCAAAAACAAACCTGTCAAAAGGGCAGAAAAGGAACTTTAAGAAACGAAACAACATATGAAAATAAACTAAATGCAAGTCAGAAAATACAGCAATTGGCATAGAATTAGGGAGCTTGGTAAGGAACAGGAAAAAGAGAAAAGAAACAAACACAGGAATAAATAACCAAGACATGTAACAACCAGAAAGAGTGCAAATTTTAAAGCCAAAAAGAACTGGGAGATGGAAATAGCAACTAAAGATGATGCTGGGAAACCACCTAAATTTAGTCCAGGAGAGTTGCATAAAAGTGATGACTATCAGTAAAACCACAAAGAAGCAATTTGTGTCCCTCAATCAGTTCAAATCTAACCACCTGCCTGGGGCTTGGCTAGGTACCAAAGGCAGGACTTCATTAAAAATTACCAAAAAAAAAGGACATCAATATTCGTGCACAATTATGACACGTAATACTTTAGAATGCACTAAAAATGACACAGATAGACTCAGGAAAATAAGCTTTGAGTTTGTAATTAATCAAATGTCTCATTTCCAAAAGGAAAAGAAAGTGAGGGGGGCTTGCACCTTGTACACTTACAACTGGAAATCAATGCACGTTATCACTACAAAAATTCCACCTCTACTTCCAAAGTTTGAGCCACCAATGCTAACTTAAGGTTTTTGTTGGTTTGGGGGGGGGGGGGGGGTGGAAAAAGGATCAATCCATCATCGGAAGAGAAAAGGTAGGTTTGCTTGGATTGAAGGTTATTTGGGAAAATTTTTGGGTATTAATTACTGTAACTCTTTTTTTGATGTGATACATGCAAGATAAAAAGGTGATAAGGAAACGTGTTTTGTGAATAGTAACAATTTTTTTTTTTTCCAAATAATACATGTCCAAGCAAACTTTTGTATCCTAAGTCTCCCACTAACACGACACAAATGAGGGGCAACCAACCAATTGCATAAAGCAAATTGAGCATGAACTCTTACCCACAAGCCCACTGGAAGACATTTTCCACTGCATTGCGCTTCGGTAAGACATTCGTATGATAATCAACCCATTCACTATTCTCCTGGACAAAGAGGATATTAACAGTTTCAGACAATAAAAAAAGAGATCATTTATCAAGATTAAGAAACAGAGACCTATAATCAGGCAATGACTGGCGAATTTAATTTGAAACAACAGAACTACCAAGAAAAATATGAATGAAGATGTCACTGGGTGGTAATTTTAGCAATAATGACAATCAAGACAGCACATTACTAAAAAGCAAGGATTAGCACAAAATGGTCATCTCCCCTCAAGTGATTAAAGAAAATCAAATCACTAACTTCAAAATGTTAAGAAAACTTGCTGCAACTGTTCTTCTGAAACAGTAATAAACTCAGTCATCCTAAGTGATTATAAGACCCAAAACTTTTATATCACTACAAAACCTTCTCACTTCAGATGTAGAACCATGCATATTCCTCAAATTGCTAGTAGTTAAATCCTTTCCAAATCAAGAAAAAGACACTATTAGGAGAACCTGGGGCAAATCAAAAGTAAAAGCTCCTGCAAGTCAATGAAAAAAAAAACTAGAAAAGCTAAGAACTCGACCTTTTTGATCATTTCTTCACTTCTCCTCGTTCAAAGATGCTCAATTAGACATCCAAATCATGTACCACATCTCAGTATACCTCATTAACACTCCATTGTTTTTTGCTTGCACATTTGCCTTACCCACGAGATACTGACTGAATTAATGATGCACTTAAATCAGGCTAACCAAAGACAGAGACCTATAAATAACACAACCGTACCTACTTGTTATTCCAAAGAATTTGTACAAAAGAAAACCACAGTTCCTAGTCCCTAACTTTCAACAGCCAACTAATTCTTGCCTAAAAACCCTTTTGGCATTAAAGGATACTTCAACATGAGAGGCGATCTTTCCACATTTAATGCACATATAAAAGCTTAACAAGCCATGGAAAACAACAGTTTCACTCCGATCTTGGTAATCAATGATTGACTTCTTGTAGGTATAATGCCCCAGTGCTAAAGGGAGGTCATGCCTCCAAATAATAGCTCCCTTTGTGATAGAGGTTATGCCATGGAAATGAAAAGTTTCATTCAGATTTTAGTAATCAAGGATGGACTTCTCATCAATTTTTGTCCTTAAGACAATATTTAGCCATCTAACGAAGGTATAGAGGCTACATGTCACATTAATAGATGACTAGTCAGCCAAACAGAAAAAATTGATCATGCTGATGAACTAATAAAAACTAGGCTGTCTTATCCATGTGACATATACAGACGTAATAATTAGGAAACCTAGTGCTTAACAATGGTTGATTGAGTCCGTGCTTGCATACATGAAGACAATAATACATGCAAAATTTATGCATTCCTTCCATAAGTGGCAGAGCGAGAAATAATGTTCATTGGGGATACAATAATGACACACGGCTAATCAGACTAGAAAGAAATAATTAAAAGGAAATGATGATGATTTTCAGCTTAAATTATTAGGGAAGAACATAAAAGATCAAAGGAAGAAATCAAATTCACTGTGGTAATTTTTTTGAATCCACAAGTGACTAGTAATAACAAGCATGTGTTTAATATCAACAATAATACAACTAACAAAATCAAATTTGTTCATAAATGCTTTCTTCCCTATGAAATGGAGATACTTTCTGTAAAAGACTAAAATAAAATAATACTACTTTCTTTGGGTCAAGGTGGAGTGAACATGTAAGTAATAATGAGTTGAAATTTGGAGTCCTAGATATTTGCTGCTACTTGTTTCTTCTCTCACTTACTTTATGACAAGTTACAATAATAACTTTACTATATCATTGTTATTTCAAAATTTAGCTGGGGCACAACTTGAAAATTTTTAAAAATCCCAAGCCTAATAATGGTATTTTATTTGGACCATGAGAGCACGTGCCCCCACTGGCCCCAATGTAAATCTGCGTGTGCCTTCTATATATTCATGAATAGAATATCCTCAGAAGTACCACAATATAAACCTCAAAATGAGCAATAAAACCTTATACCTTAGCATAACTATGATAGCATAATTCTCCCAGCTAAGAGTACAATAATGATTTCTGATCACAATATCTTACTTCAAGTCAAGCGTTGGCCTGACAAAGCAATTGTGTATTATTTTAAAAAAAACAATGACCATTAGAACAAGCTAGGAGCTTATTGAGGTGCAGGTCCACTCTCACAAGAGTAATGGAAAAGAAAGAGAAAAGCAAAAGAAAAACTAGGGAAAGGAGTTGCAAGGATTCGAAGTACTCCACGGAAACTCATTATCCATCGAATGAAGCTAATGGAGGTAATGTCACCTGTTAATAGGTCCCCTTTTAATCCAGGGTGTGCCATGGATCTCAATAATGAAGGATGGACATCTTGTAAGTATACTGTCCTTGGGACAATATTTATCCATCCAATAAAGCTAATAGTGGTTATATCACCAATTCATGGATGACCAGACAGCTAACGAAAAAAATGGAAGCATGCTGATGGACTAGTAAACACTAGGTTGTCTTAGCCATGTGATATACAGAAAAGTAATGTTTGCTCAACAATGGCAGATTGAATCCTCACTTTATAGTGGAAGACAACAATACATTCTCAAACTGCCCTGCCATTCATTCTATAGAGATTCATCAATAGGATATCCTCAGATACCACAAAGTAAACTTCAAAATAAACGACAAAAACCTTATTCATAGCATAATCATCATAGCATGATTTTCACAACTAAGAGGACAACAATAATTTCTTATCACAATAGTTTACTTCATTTCAAGCCTTGGGCTAAGAAAGATCCAATAGGTACCCCCAAAAAAAACATAAAAAAGGACCAAGAGAACAGATTATTAGCCTAATGAGGTACAGACCCACTTTCAGCTGACTAATGGACAGGCAAGAGAAAACAAAGGAAAAACAAGTAGGCAGAGTTGTAAAGCTTCGAGTTATTCCAAGGAAACGTATTTATTAGAATAAGACTCAAATAATAGTTGATGGCAGCCTACATATTGCTGGGAAGACAGAAGTGCAAATTTTGTGGCCAACGGAAAGTTGCTAATTCAGATTTTATATGACCTCAAAAGGCTCCAGACTAAAGGTTGGCAACTGATACAGATTATGGAGTCAAGTATCCAAGGAGCATCTAACCTCCTCAAAGGGCAAATAACAGAGGCATCCCAATGTCCCATACTTGATACATTGAGGGTTATACAAGTTCTGATACCAAGGACTTCTACAGGAAGCTAATATTTATTAATTTGTTTTATTGAATTACTTAAAAGAAAATATGAAGTAGATAATTACTACAAGGTACATGACAACAAAAAACACTAGTCTGACGATACAGTTCAAACCAAAACAAGTCCATCAATAAACAAAAACATAACGTACAAAAAGTGTATCCACGCCATTGGCGCACATGATTCCATTCTTTGTGGTAATCTTGAGGACCAAAGAACTGTCTCACTTTCTTCTCATGTTCTGTCACTCCTTAAACTTCTACACAAAGACTTTCACTTCCCAATCCACTACCGATAGAATATAATACCAAAGCTATAATTAGCCACCACTTAAATGGCATTAAAAGTGATTAAAAGACCTTCCATTCCACCAAGACTACCCAAAATCTGTGACTGTCTTTTGAAACCACATGCAGGATGATTCTTTCAGGTGCATTACTTTAGTAGTTTACTTCCCCTACTTACACTGAGGACAATAATTCCATGTCTCTCAAGAAACAGCAAGAAACTGCAGCCCCAGATTTATGCAAAGAAAAACTTAAGTACAGGAGGATATTACACCAAAATCTGATAAAGCAAAGGACAATCACGCTCCTAGCGAGCAATCAACAGAAAGGAGCTTAGAAAGAACCTGAAGATGTGATTGTATATCACCGTTGTTATTTCCCAGTTGAACAAGTTTATTTGCAATGCGTGTTATGTGTCCAATATTCCCAATCCTAGGAGGTGATTTCTCCTCAGCAGGAACAGTTGGCTACAAGACATATGAAGACAATTTTTTTACCAAGGGAAAAGGTGGTAACAGGAAAAGTATATGAAAAGCAGATCCAAGAATGGTACAAGTCAATGACAAAAGGTTTAGATGCTGAACCCAAATTGTTCACACTCAATATCCAACTAAATAACAAACTGGAATATCACCTTGGTTGGATCAGTAGCCAAGATGGAATCCCTCTCAGCTTCAAGCATTTTTCCGACAAGATTACAATCATGAAGAAGATGTTCAACAAATGAAGAGTTTTTGCTCTCCAGGCAAGACAGTATTATTTGCTCCACATGATGATGCAAAAAATTATTGTAAGGGTACCTGAATTCAAGGTTATCCCAAGTCTCAGTAGCTCATTTTATTCTCCAACAAACCAAGATCTCTTGGTACAAAGCAGACTTACGTAGATAAGGTAGAAAGACATAGAATACTTACTCAAAAAATAATTCCACAATCCTCTTCACAGCACCAAGGCGAATCAATTCCTTTTCTGCAGCTTCACTACTAACAGTCACCAAGACTGAGATGAACTCTATAATCTGAAAATTAATTTTTAACCATACAATCAAGTTTGTGCATTGCCAAACTGTATGAACCTTAGGGAGAATATTATGCAAATTAAGATTAAAATTTTAGGCAGTACATCTAAGGCAATAGAATATTAGCAGACTTCTAATTTTACTATGAGCAAACAAAAAGAAAAATCTAATCCACAAGTTTCTCTTTTAACAAAAATGAAAATGAAAGCAGAATGGAGACCTTCAAACGATGTTTTCCAAGAGGTGGCTGCAGCTTTCCATATGTAGTCAGCAAGACATAGTCCTCAGAGGAAACATCCAAAAGCTTCAGCAAATCACCTGCAAAATCAAGATATAATATCCAAAGTTCATGTAAGCTAACCCAATTTCAGTTTGCATGCCATTGCAAAAAAAAACTTGGACAAATCACTTTAGCCTTCTAGTACTATATACAAGCAAACCGGGTCATATCGCCATCTGGACATCTACTTTTGCATTCGCAGTCAAACATTGTCCTGCCTATCTAACGAAGAAGAAATTATCACAGCATATTTTTATTCCCTTTTCCAAGATGCTTTAAGGCTTCCTAAATCCATTTTTTACAAATCAACAGCCCTTAGAAGTGCTAAATATAAATCACCTTCAATATCATCATGCACCTATAAACCTTTCCTGAAGTACTCCAGAAGAAGCGGCAAGAGATGCCAAACTCCAGAAATATTTGGGCTTAAATTTTCCTACAATAAATTACCTAGATCCAAGCAAGAAAATGATGAAGATTAAAAATGTACAAATCGTTCTATTTGCATTCAGATGCAGCTAAAAATATTACTGGAATAAATGGAAACTAATTACTTGAACAAATAAACCTAAAACGGTGAAAGTGCTGCTACAGAAACTATGACATCGTGTTTAGTAGATAAGTTGGCTGCACACAAAAAGATCAACAAACACGTTTAGCACTTTTTTTTTTTGCAACAGAAAAGAATGAATAAATCCTTTTGCAGATAAACTTCGTCTACTCCAGGCAATCATCCCATATTCAAATCGATTTTGTAATTCTCATGTTGCAGAAACTCATGATCATCAAAATTAGTTATCAGTTTACTGGAACAGTTCTACATCTTTCTCATCATTGCATATCCTACTCTAAATACTCGTGCCCTTTATCATATTCAAGAATTTTAACAGCACATATTAAATGGAGCAAGCATCTCAAACCAAAAAAAAAAAATTCTGATACGTCAAATTTCTCATGAAAGAAATATAGCAGCCTATAATGTAAATAAAAATTTACATCAGCAATACTATTAATTTGAGCAAGCAACTTCAGCTATTTGATTTTCAATTCGGAAAAAAAATTAAGCAACAGTTCACATTCTACTCAAAATTTGCACATGGCAGGGATATCACAGGGTAGCGTCTTTGAAGCAAAATGTTTAAAAAGGAAAAGTATTAAAAAAAAGGGTCCACAGCAGCAGTTTGTTAACAAGGTAAGAACTAAAGGAGAAATTGGTAATGTATCACGCAGACCTAGGCTTTCAAGCATTCCATCCACGGTCTCAGGATTAGGGGTTATTCCAGATCCTTGAATCATTTGGCGGCTGTACATATAATATGCTCCTGATGTTAGCCTCTTGGGGTCCAACAAAGAAATGCACACAGACAATGAGTTGACCAACACAGATTTTGGTCGAGAGTCCTCCAAAGCATGACGAAACAATCTTGCCACAAAACTGTAACAGCGAGACATTCTTGTCATCAATGTGATCAAGCCAGTTTCAAGTGAAGCCAAGGTATGAAGGAACCAAGAATGATACAGTAGGAAGTAAAATTCCACCTAGGACTGGAGATTTTAGAGGTTATCCCTGGTGGGGCATATCGAGTTATAGCACAAAGAGCTTCTGCAGCATTAGCATGCACTTCTGGGCAGTCCTGCAACAGTATTTCTCCAGTTATCAATTGGAAAACATGAATAGAAACCCACTCCAGCTTTTCAAAGGTAAAGTTCTTTCATAGACCATCCCATACAAGCAGCATAATTAAAAATTGCAACATAGTGTATTCCATCAAGCTAACACAATCTTTTTAGTCCTCCACAGGTCCTCAAAAGATAACAAGGGCTTGACAAGAACAGTAAAAAAGTTCAGGTTCCTTAAATTACTTACAGATGAACTGAACTTGTCAACAATCATCTCTAGCACATCTGTTCCTTCTAACCACTGCATAACATCAGTGTAGTTCGCATACAGGTGTTCATCAGCACCAATTAGTCTAATTAAAACCTGTAGGGGGAAAAAATTAGGATTCAAGACTAACAATAAAGAGCTAAAGAGAAACAACAAAAAGTATCGAACCTCCATGATGGATGTAATTCCAATTAGGTCAACCAGCTTCCCTATAATGTCCTGATGAGCCTGCACAGGCACAAAGCCAAACATATCAGCTGACTGACTTCTTAATGCTCAATTGCAAACATAAAAACTGTTATGGGAAGTTGCAAATTTGAAAACTCGACCAAACTTTTGAATGAAAGAAATGAGCAAACTTGATGAATGATTGAGAGGGGGAAAAAACTTCAATAAAGACGCAAGTCGTAGAAACTACATTTACAATCCTCAGATTCTTCCCATTCATTTTTTTTGGTTTTTTGAAAGGTCAATGCAAGGTTAACTCATTTAGAGACATATGCAAAGAAGGTAGCAAGCATCTTCATTGGTTTTTATCCCCTTGGAGCCCATTCACATAAAGTTCTTTCCTTTTCCAAAGATAGAATGAAAAGAACTTCATTAATCTGTCTATAGAATCCAAATTCCTATCTAAAAAGCTTCCCATATTGCGAGTATATCCATTATGCAACCACAAAGAAACTTGTAATCCATACTTCCTTTTATATTCTCTTCTCAATACCATCCAAGACTCTATTATATCTCCCCAAGGAATGTATGCAAATTTCAATTGTTACTTTTCCGACCAAGATTTTTAGCAACTAGCCTTCCATACTAGGAGGCATGTCCAATACACACTTGTTAAAAACTCTTCTACTAGTAGATTTCCAATTTACTACCAGTATAACCCAGTAAGACGCTTTCACAGTGGTTTCCAGTAAAATAGAGTAACCCTTGGTGCAGCACAACTTTTACATAGCAAATTTCAAAGGGATGTTCTGAAGTACTGGTAATATAATGATGCCATAGTAGATTTTGGCTGAGATTTTCCCCTTCTCCAATTGATTCACTTGTTCATTTCGTAAAGCTAAGACATAAACAGTTTAAATTTTATATCCCAAACTGGTTCAGGCTGCGAAACACCAAAAATAAATTACACGACCTCCATTCTTGATCATGGTTAGAGAAAATCATTATCCCATTCATCAAAATACACTGACCTTTCCGAAAGAAAAATACTGGAAAAGTTTAGATATTGATAGATGTTGCTAATTTATTGGCAATGACCCTGCAGTAAAGCATTGGCAACAGTAAATTTGGGCGTATGCTTTTTTGTGACGTCAACAACTGGAGGACATTTATGCAACTTGACAACAAACCTCAAAAGATTAAATCCAAACTGGCTGGATTCCTATGATGACTGCAACTTTCACAGGAGGTGTGATGAGTTTAATGATCAAATCATCTGTAACCTTTGCTTTTTTGTTTGTCAACAATGTAGTTGAAGCCTTTCATGAGGAATAAATAATTTCGTTATATCTCCATTTCCAATATCAGAAGTTATCTAAAAGTAAATATATCCAGTTCCATTCACATGCTTTTTCATGACGCCACAGAAAAGTAACAAACCGATATCAAAAGTCATCTAAAGAGTAAAAATTTGGAATTCTTAAACATGTGCTTTGCTTCTGACCTGCATCCTTCATTCATCCCATAATCAAACCAGTAAACTTCCCACTAGAGGCCTGTTTTTCACCTCCATAACTCCGAAAACCAATTATATGCAAGGCATTAGAAGAACAATAGATCTCATTCCCCATGCCTCTCCAAAACAGACACTTTGCTCTAGTTGTTCAACAAAATCTTATCATATCATAATGAGCTCATCTGAAAAGAGTTTCTCTAATTTTTGACTTCCATTAGTAGCAGCTTTTCAGGATTTTAAAATGAAAAATCAATAACTGACAAATTTAAGAGAAAAGGCCATTATTAGAGTTTTCTCCCATGTTTTGATTGACACAACATCTCCAGCTAGCTAGCTCATCTTCCATTTTCTTCAACACCTATAGCCCTCTTCTGAAAAATCTTTAACTAATAATGGTAAAGTCTAAGAGACCATAAGTAGCATCTGAATCCTATAAAGCCAGTATATTTGCTAGATCTTAATGTAGCCAAACTCACAAACTGAAATTAGTTCACTTCTCATTCACTCAATCTTATATTCATCTAGTCATATCATTACTAAGAACTGTGACTAATGCAATATCACCAGAAAAGCTGATAAAAATTAGATAGGACGTCCCCATCCATTATAGGTAAATAAGGAATTGTCATCTCATGTGAGGAACCTTTTCCAGATCTAAGCAACCTTTTCCAGATATAAGCATGCAAGCAAACTTTACCACCTTCCACATTAGCATTTAGGTCTCTGGAGGCACATTGAGATAGAAGTCTTTTTAATCACGATGCAACACTTTTCACCATAATTTCTGGCTTTCAACCTCTTTTAGGTAAAATGGAATCAACTTTACCCAGGTCAGATACAACCAATTCTGATAGCTGAAAACTTCTATCAAATCTTTCATACTCAAATAGCTGCTGGACCCCTGACCATGACTTGGACTTCTTTCTAATTAGGCAGCTCAAGCACGATTCAAACTCTCAATTAACGATTATAACTGGAGATATAAGGTACTCAGGGATAGATTTACTTAGATTCATTTAAGATCTAAACTATATGCAGCCTAATTACAAGAAATTTTCCAAATAAACAACAAAATTATAGACAAACCAACTAACCAGACACAAAATCCCCACATTAGATTATGTAGTTTATATCTGAGCAAGTATTAGAAAAGAGAAATGAAAAACGACACTTGAAAAATAATTGGCTAAAGAAGATGAAGAAGCCTAAAGAGAGGCCATTGCCATTCTGGCGCTGCAATAACTATGCTTCTGACCTCCTTACTCTGGCTGCTTAAAGATAGGTTGGGTCTGTTTCAAAAAAGGTATGAGAACCTGAACCACTTTTGCAATGCAAACAAGGGGATTATGGAACAGTAATGGGAGAAGATGGGTGAAAAGTGCCAACAAAAAACTAAATGCATTTTGTTTGGGAGAAAAAATTATAAGAGGCCATTAACAATAAACTTGAACAAAACCCCAGGCCAAAAACATTCATGTAGAAATAGTTATGTCTGAATGAAGTGCAATGTGATTAATTTATTAAGAAAAATCTATAAGTGAATTTTCAGTATCATACTAGCTGATTTCAAAACTCAACTCTAATCAAGCCCAAGCTTCACAAAAAAATAAATGTTGCAGCTCCAGTTGTAACTGTACAATCAACACCCCTCCGTGGTAAAACCCAAAAGTTATTACGAGATGAGAAGCCAAATCACTACTAAAGGATCTGAACATAGCTCTAGGGAGAAGGGGAGAAGAGAATAGACAGCAATAGTGTGAAGCTTACTTATATAGATGTGCAACAAGTTCATTTCTTTATTTAAATTATCAAATTAGTAGAACACAAGCACAGGCGAAAGTAATAAAAGAAACAAAAGCATGCTGCCCATTTGTCCCAGAAGCCTGACAGAGTCCAAAGAAAAATCAGGAGATTATAGAATTCTACTGAACCAAGATACAAAAAGAATTAATACATGTTTGGGAGCATATATATGTATCAAAAAATTTCAACAGTCACTACTAACAGAAAAGAAACAGCATAATATAAAAATACTCCAATAAAACATGGGCAAAAGCATTTGACTAACCTGTATATAGTTCATTAAAGGAACTGTCTTCCGCAACAACAGACATATAACAACCTAGCATACAGAAATCCGAGCATCAAATGCCAACACATAATGCAAAGATAATTTAAAAAGGAAGTACTGAAGGATGAATACTGCTTAAAGCTTCATCTGTTTGACCAGAGTCAAAAGGTAAAACCTCTACACATGCCATTCAGAAGAAAGCTCACAGTCATGATGAACAGAGAAACAGGCAAGACAAACACCTTGACCTTTTCAATCTCCAATAACCATTATTTCCAGCTAATAAAACCACCCCAACCCCCAACCCACCCCAAAAGGGGAAGAAAGAATCAACCATAAAATTTGACAAAAAAGCATATCTTAGTAAACAAATTCAAATACCCCAAAATAATCCATTCCTCACCTCACATCCAAGCAATTCATAGAGATAAACCAGCAAATGTTAAGTAAAGGATTACATATAATGCTGGCTTAAGCATAAGAAGATAATATGGCACCTAGATTCATGTCTAAGCTTCGACTCTTAAGGAAAGTCAAAAAATTCCCCAAACATAAGAATGGTTTAGCATGAAACATTAAGTTTTTTATAAAAACTAGATAACACTCTTTTCAGTAAATCTCAAGATCACGTATATGTCGTGTTGATATAATAGAAGCGAAGAGCATGATAGTAAATAGCAGCCTTACTTTCCTGCTTATAAATCCAAAACTGCATAGCAAAGATAAGAATTGGCAAATCTTTACATTAATGCTTATGGACATCTAGGCAACTTTCATTATACAAATTTTAGAAATACTTTAGTCAACAGACTAGTACAAATTAACAGCCCAGTACAAGCATATTTCTGTATTTTTCGTCTTCCCGTTGCTTTATGATGAGGCAGATGGCTTTGAAAATTCCTCACAAAGCAGCATGTTTCAAAACTCCAGGGACCAACATTTCGGAAAGACTGGCCTCCATATGGATCATGTGACTCTGTTACAGCACAAGTACGCAAATCATGCGTAAACGTGTATGCAATGTAAGGGCTGGTTAGACTAGAGGTATTAGAATGTTTTCAGTTCCGGTGAAGGAAAGTTTGAATAGATTTTCCCTTTATGTTAACCCACAAAAGAAAAGGAGAAAATCCCTTGAGAATTAATTGTAGGAAAACACATTTAAACAAAATCATGAGCTATATCCCACAAATCTGGCAAGATAGTTGCCGAAAACTTTCAAACAGAATAGTTAATCCAACAATGTACCAACAGAGAAAACAGATGCAAATAAGTATAACTACATCAGTCTCATTTTTTTCCAGTTTTCTTGTTTTCCAGACACTACATTAGGTTAGACATTGTCATGGGAATGTAACAATTTGAACATTGAAATGAATTAGATGAAGGTATAGAACAAGAACTCTGAAACTGAGACAAGAAAAGCCTGAAGCCAGCTTCTCAAAACAGATGCACATGCCAATGCAAAGCAACAAGGTCAAACTCAGTGGTGATTGTAGGGACAAGATTTATTGTATTAGTACTGCAGATTCACATTGTGAAAAAAGATGGGAAATATAAGAGATCCTGATATACAGCACATAGAAAAGATAAAATGTAATTATTGCAGGCTAATCTGGAAACAGGTCCAGACCAAACAAACCCACCCAAAAAGAGAGTAAAACAAATATAAATGCAGGAAAAAGGAGAAAATGGAGAAATGGTAGGTGGTTTGCTTTTCCAGGCATTATGACAGCTGATTCCAGAGAAAGAAATACATCACTTCAATTCAACAAAAATTCATCACAAGAACACCTACCAATATCGTCCCCACCCACATTTTATGTTATTTCCCTATTAACTATATTTAGCATTCTGCTGATTCTTCCCAGGCTGAAGAATGGGTCTTACATTGATTTCATTGGTAAAGAACCAAGATTCCCATTGCACGCTTAGGTCAAATATCGTGTAATGTCTTCCAAACCCGTTTAACATCAAAAGCAGAGTATCACAATACCTTACTGAAATAACCAGCCAGCAGAGTACTATGAGAGCGCCCAGGTTCCAGGAAGGAGAAAAGAATACTCATTAACTGCCCACAAAAATTAAAGATCCAAGTTGTAAATAAAATCAAAAGTCAAAATACAAGTTAACAATAGGAAAGCTCATAGAATTCCATACCTCCTCATCCTCCACTAAAGCCTTGAGTATTATATCAACCTCACATGTAAAGATTTCACAAGCAATAAAAGGGAATCTACAAAGAAACAGGTAAAACAAATCTCATTAGATAAATTCAAGTTGAAAAGGAAATATAGTTACTAATGCTAAAAAAAGATCTAATGAGAAACTTGAATGATATCCTAATACATACTTAAAAGTTCGTGTTTTCTCAGCATCCTCAGGAGCTTCTTCCACAATGTATCGAACAAGCTGTTCAACTTGAGCTCTCTCCCGCAAACTGCAAGTCAGGTCAGCAATAAAAAGTCATACCCAATTACAGAATCCAACCCTTTCCATTATTGCAAGTATGTGATGCTTTAAGTACAGTGTGATGCTTTAAGTACAGTGTGATGCTTTAAGTACAGTATCTACACTTCCAACAGAAAACAATTGTATAAAACTAGCAAAAAGGCATTTCAGAAACATATTAAATTTCAAAGCTTAAACTATTAAAACTAGTAACACCACAAGCTTCATAAGATTTGGCTCTTTCACCCAAGCTGCATGTCAGCAATGAAATATTTTGTGCTCATAACAGAGTACCCAATCATTTGCAGTATCACAATTATATCATGGTTTAAAACAGCATCTAATTTAGGAAAGAAAAGAGTATTATAGTTACTAGCCAAAAGAATTCTCAGAAAACATGTTAAAAGGTTCAACACATAGAATGTTAGAAATGCATTTAGATCACAAGGTTCACATGCCTAAAAGTTCTTGCATCCAAGTGAAAATCTAAACATATTCAACAAGCATCCTTGAAACAGGTGACAAAAAGGCCAAATATATACGCATTTCAAGTATCTATTATCACTAGCAGTAGCTTAATTTTAAGCCCAGCCTACAGAAACCGAACTTGATCTGTCCCAATACATGCATCAAATAACAAATTTTTCATCAAAAGGTTTTTATTGGCAGTAGATACGTCATCCAGTCTGCTTCTTTAATGCTTGTGTGTTGATCAATTAACAACTGATGCAAAACCTTTTCATTCTTCCCAGTGGTACTTATCCTGTATTACCAAGAAAATAAGTAGAAAGCTGCATAAAAACTTCCCTCAGCAAATTTTTACAACCAAATGGTGTGAGAAGACACCAGATGCCAACTGCTAAAGTGAAGCAGGAAAAGTTTAATCCTAAAATAAGCACACAAAACTCATCATTCAATTTGTGTGTTTGTTTTAAACTAATAGTATTTAGACTATCAAGCCCATTGAATATCCACCCAATGAAAGAAATGACTGCCTTTTGCTGCAGTCAATCAGGTTATGAGTAGCTTCCCTTCTTAATTAATGTCCACAAAGAGATTATCAAAAGTTGTACCATTATGCTCCTATTGTCCACTAACAGCACTATAGTACCAAACAAGTAGATTATGAAAGACACAACTACTAATTTGCACAATAATTTCATTGTACTTAAGAAACCCAACTTTCAAGAAAAACTTTAAACATACTAGCAAAGGGCTTCACATCTTCTGCATCTCATTAACAAATTAAAACACTACAATTTATTCCGTTCCTTCTAATAAATAAAAATAAAGATTTCCCAAATAAAGATGCCTTGACTTAAAGTGGACAAAAGCATTCCATATTGCCACATTGCTGTACATAAAAGTCATAGGCAATGGGCATTCAAAACCTCTGGCTGAAAAGGATTTGTGAAGTGGAAAACACAAAATGACCGTGCAAGATGCTCTTTAATACTGCCGAAAATTGAGGAACTAAAAGTGGTGAAAAACCCAATTCAAAGGTAAGTGTAAATGTTTCGAGAAGAACAACCAAATCAAGAACAAAAAATGGAAGAGATCTGGCATTATGAGCAGAAATGCTTTAAGTCCCAAGAAAGGATCAAGAAATCAATTCTCTAACTGAAAACATGTACAAGAGCTATGTCCAATGACATAAAGACGATGGGATGTGGGAGATGTCAAAATACCTTAAATATTTACTTAAAAGGACTCATGCTACATACACATGGACACCAAACCCTCCATACCATTTGGTCTGTTGATCCCACTATCTATAACCTAATGCTTTAATAAGTCTAACTCCAAAGCAAATTGCATACAGAAACCAGTCAACCACTCATCCAAGAAAATAATGCATTCTGCATGTGCAAGTACTGCATCTATATAAATGTAAACGTTAATGCAAGTCATGCAGAAGTACTTCCCCAATTTCTAGATCCACCTAATAGATCCCCTGCTTTTCCCATTTATTTTCCGCAAATTCGCCAATTCCAAATACCTATGTTCCAATAGGATGATAAAAGCCACCTAATACTTCACCCCATACAAAAGTTTGAAACAGGTGCTACTTTAATATGTCACCTTTTCTTCATTTTCAAGTGATGTTATCCAACTGCAGGCCAAAGTACCCAACTTCAACAAGTAAACATCTTACGCTTGCGAAAATCCAAATCACTTTTCTTCCTTGGTTTAATTATTGATCTTCTTATCCTGATTCAATAATTGATTCTTATTCAATAATTGATCCTTCATCAAGTGATATACATATAGGAGCATTTAAGTTGTAAAGGCACAAATTAAGTCAGGAAAGGAGAGTCTCAAATTTCTTTTAGAGGCAAAGAATGCAATTGTACAATAAAAGAACTAAACAAATTGTCATTAAACAGTAAACGTTATACACAAATAGGAGCATTTAAGTTGTAAAGGCACAAATTAAGTCAGGAAAGGAGATTCAAATCTCTTTTACAGGCAAAGAATGCAATTGTACAGTACAAGAACTGGAACTAAACAAATTGTCATTAAACAGTAAAAACACCTACTTTCGACTTTTACATGGGTGTTAAAAAAGGTTAATTTCATTTCTGCAACCTGTCACTCTCATGAACAAACAGTTATTCCACTTGGTTCCCCAGAAACAGAGCTACCTTTATCGCCAATAAACATTTGCCACCATGTAATAAACCAGATATCAGTAGAGCGAGTGAGGTGAATAAACGTAATAAAGGCTCAAAGGTAAATGCACAGCATGAAACACTCAGAAACTTGACATTCATACTGCCGTCAGAAATTCTTTTTTAATCTTCAAAACCCACATACTAACATTTGCATCCGGCCAGAATCGATCCATTCCTGTCTTTCCACTTGCAGGCTATTTAAATCAATAGATCACTCTCTAAGGCCTAATATTTCCTCCTTTCTGTTTCAACTCCTGTACTCGTACTCCAATAGATGTCTTTCCAAAGTGATTCAATCCAAGATGTGATTAACGCAAATCAACAAGGAGGTATGCAGAATAGGCAAATAAATCAAGGCAGGCCTTTAATACCAAGACTGACAACGCTGACATTCAAAGTGAGCCAATGTTGCCTGGAAGATAGAATGAGCACTTTTTTGAATATATTATACTAGCTTTTTGGTCCCCTGGATATATTTTACTGCATTTTTTGGTCCCTTGGATACTTTAGCATCCTAAGCTTTAAAAGATGATTAAAACATCCTTCAGTGTGAGCAAAATAATGTAGATTGGCAAGCTTAATTCCTGCCCCATTAGCATTAGATGGCAATACAACCAAAAAAAATATCCCTTACAATTACAGGCTGGATAACTACTACTCTATGACAAGCATAAAAGAAAAAGAACCATGATTTCACTGACACAAGGTGAAGGGGACAACATGAGCACAAACAAGAATTGAATGAACTGTCTAGCAGCTGTAGCATGGAAGCCAAGAAGAGCTAATATAATTTGAGAGATTCTAAAACATGTTAGCAGCCAGCCTACTTATAGAAAACAAGAGCAAAGAGTACTTGACGCATTAAACCACAGGCTTACAAATTGATAAGGCGGCCATTAAGAGCTTTGCATTCTTGGATTATTTCATCCTCATCCAACAGCTCCTCCAATGTATAATTCTCTTTGTCTAGTATGGTCTCCACCTGAACCAATCATATAGTAAGTCAAAACCAGGATCCTTATGCTCAAATCATATCTTTATATCTAAAAAACTTAAACACTAACAAAAATGTTCTTTAACACCAAAATAAACATAAAAGAAAAACAGCAACACGAGATGCTAAAGAAGGACGGTTGCAGAGTAAGTTGCAAAGACAGGATACACATACAAAAAGACTTTCATGGGAGAAAACATAATCCAATAACCTCTTGATCTTAACGCAGTCTGGAAACATGAAGTTGAGCAACTTTAAAAATTCATAATTAAATCAAAAAAAAAAGGCATAACAATAAGGTTGTATACATCCAATTGTAAATCCTAGGTATTTTGCAAGCCCAATGATTTGGAAAATAACTGCAACATGATCCGGGTAAAAAAAAACTCTAGCTTTGGTTTTCAATAATAATATTTATGTTTTTCTAGGTAGGTAAAGGTTAATCACTGTAAAAATCGAAAACTGTAAAACTTATGACTGATTCCACAAGGCTGCACTTAATATATTAGCTCCATGTGGAGACTGTTTAAAGCAAGGTTTCAGCTACCATTTGATTCATCCTCTTCTTCTCCATCACTTTCATTTTTTTTTCCTCCTACCATTCCACTAATTCTCGGCTACTTCATGCTCTCTTTTGGTCCTTCCCACTCTTTGTTTCTAGTATTACTGAAATTCTGGGTTTCCAATCTCTAAAATGGCCGGAGTTTAATCGACTGAAACTGTTCTTGATTTTATTCACTAAATTTGCTGACACACTGCTGAAATTTTGTTGCTCACAAAGTAACTCTTACATTCTTACACTAAATAACAATTTAGAGCAATCCATAATTGCAATATATCACTTCTTCATCAGCACTAAAACAATTATAGTTAATAATAAAAGCTTGGAATATCTACAATCAGTCAACCATCAGTCAAATGTAACATATGCATCTCCATAGTATTATAATTAGGTTGCATTTGCTATGATGGAGAGCACTCACCCCAGAAAAATACATGAATCACACCCTGAATCAAAAGGACAGCGCTTTATTCTTGAAATTGACGGATCCTACCGTTAAAAAAAATTGCACATCCTAGTTTCTATTCTCTAGCCACAGGAGTGTGATTCTCCATCAACTAGGAATCATCATATATGAAGCTACAGTTGGACTCATCTGCATGGTTTAACATTTACGCTATTGAATACATTTGCACATGCAAATTAATCAGCAAGTGATAAGATCCAAAAATTCGAAGTTCTCATCTATGATCCATAGTGAACAGTATAGCAACCACTTGACAAAAGTCAAATGCCAAATATAATGACAGTCTCAATTCTCAGTACCAGGGTAGTATATAATTCTCTTTTCGGTATCATTTCCCCACAAAATACAAAATCAGACTAATTTTCACACTAGAAACATCATCTACCTCAATCTTATTAAACTACTTCATCAGAAATAGCAAGTCTTGTCCATGACAACACAGTTCACTATCAAAAAATAGAAAAACAACATCAGTATCCTGATATTGGCTACATCAGAGGCACTGTTCCATTGCCGTCCAGTTGATTGCCCCCATTAGCAAATCAAGAACGGCTACTAAATCAAGATTCATTGCATATCAATTAAGCCCATTATGACAAACTTCCCCAAGCATTTACTAAGAAATTCCCAAAAAAAGATATCCCCTATAATTTCCATTTCCTTCAAAACCCCAACAAATTAGCACAACAGCAGGCAACCGGGCAATCCTTTTCCAAAATTGCTAAATAATCACGCTTCAAATTGAGCATTTCCACTATTAAACACATTCAACATAAAAAACTTGAACGCTACAAATCAAGACAACAGAAAACACAAATTAAACCAATTGATAAACCCAAAATTCGCGTTTTATACTCACAGGAGACGCAGTAGACAGCCCAGCCATACGCCAAAACATGGTGAATTCTTCAAAATTGGAGCGCTAATCAACTCGGCCAATTCTTCCGAGAATCAGATCTGTACCAACTCGAAAACCCTAACGGATAGAATTTTGCTCCCTCTTCACAATGATAAAATCCAACCAAAACCGGTACTAAAAATCAATGTCAAATATGAATATTACGTGCGTCTAGAAACCCTAGATTTTGAGCGGATTTTGGATTCGATTGAATCGAGGATTGTAGAGAGAGAAAGTGGAGTTGTGGAAGAGAAGAAGAAAAGCAAAAAATTATTTATGTTGTAGTTGTACGTTGTACTATAGTTAAAGGCCTGTAATCGCGGGACGGTGGGAAATTGTAAATGGAATCAAAATAATTTTAGGAAAATCCTCTATGATGATATCTTTCGATTGATTTAATCATTTGTTTTTTTATATTAGCTCTAGTTATTTGTTATTTATTTGTAGAGTTCACCTAAATGACTTTCAAAATAAGATAGAATGATACATATAAATATGGAAAGTCCTAAAAAACGATATAGATTTGGCTTGCGTTATCGATCATAACTTGATTTGGCTTGCATTATCGATCATATAGATTTGGCTTGCATTATTGATCTCTAAATACATTATCGATCATAACTTGGCTTGCAAAAAATCAGTCATAGCTTGGCCAACAAACAATTGTGTGCAAACTTATAACTCAAAATTTTAAGGGGCAAAATTAACAACAAACTAGAATTTAACCCGTACTTATAATGCATACAGTAGCATATGTTTCTAATGAATACGCATGATATTAATTGCATTTAATATGTTTATGTATTTGATTATCAAACTGCCACATCGAATTTTAATATGTTTACTTTATTGAAGAAATGTTCTTATAGAAAATAGTTAAATGAAAAAATTCAATAAATTTGGATAGAGTATTATTTGAAATATTATTTAGAATAATTACTCTAATACTTTTTGTGATTTGATATATGTGAAATAAAAATGTGATTGGAAATATAAAAAGATGGGTTGAAAAATGTGCTAATTACTATTTGCAAAAATTTAGCTATTCAAACACTCTCATTGATTATTTATCATTTTATACGTTACTACAGATATCAATATTCAAGTCCTCCATGTATATCTATCAAACTAAGTTACTTGATGTTAAAATAAAATAACTCGAATGAAGGAATAAAAGTCGTCAGAGAATTGAAATTGCATTTCATTATTTAGTTAAGAAAAACTTAAATGCCAAATAGGTAGACCTATCATTAGACAGGAATAAATATCCATACATTAGGCTTAGAAATGTAAGGGAGTACTCCTTATTTCTTCATTCTGCACTTGATCCTTATTTCTTTATTCTGCAGTTAATTTTTTTTTTTTTGAAGTGTGCAGTTGATATTTTCGTTTGCTCGAGGTTTTGGTTCATATTCTCCTCTGATTTGTTTATTTATTGCTTTCATTAATAAAATTTGGGTTTAGTATCCCTCTCTGTTCGCCAGGTTTGAGGGAAAAAAAAGCAAAAATAAAATACATAAACCTAATTAAGCAATTGACCACAAATTCTCTTCAATTTGGCTAACCACATAAAAAGAGAGAAATCGAAGATTGAAAACCTTCTTCAACTTTTTCATCATGATATTATTATTTATAATGTATTTCAATTGTTGTGTAGGTAAGTTATTCTTTACTTATAAAAGTTAATCTTATATACACAAATATTATATACACTATCATAGTTAGATGGATAAAAATATATATAAATTTTGAATTTTAAATTCAAATTTAGATTATGTGACGACCCCACTTCTCCCAAAGGCGAACCCGAGGGTATTAGCGGGCCGCCTGCCTATCTCGCGTCAGGACTCAAAATTTAAAGCAATAAAACTAGATAAATCGAAAGAGCACTATACACACAATACATACAATCCCAAAAGTGTTCTAATCATCCCCTTTACATCCTTATGAATATAACCAAAACCAAAGAGTAGACCCTAAGGAGGGTCCTTATACAAACCACCAAAACTAAAACAAACATCCTAATTGTCCGACTATTACATGCAAATCTAACTATACTAGTGTATGTGCCAAAAGTCCCCGAGTCGGCCCCTGCTAAGGAAAACAAAAGAAAAGGGGTAAGTTATATGTTTAGTAAGTAAACAGGGGCAAAAGCGTAAATCTCCCATATTAACAATTACACAGTAAGAGTAAAGCAAAAGCAGAAAAATAACATCACATAAGAAGGATACGGGCGGCTCCAAAGTCAATTCATGTGCCATGTATGATCTCCTGCCGACACTCCGTTGACCACAAATAATGGTCCGTGGAACTCCACTTGTTCTCCCACCGTACACCTTATCACCCTCTCTGGCCAGAAACCTCACAAACTTGTTCGAGCGAACGAAATTGAGCTTGGTTCACAAGCTCGGGTCACAAACTTGGTCCACATACTCGGTGAACCGGATTCACAAATTTGGTGACCTCAATCTAGGTTGGACTGACTTCGACCAATCCCTAACCGGCTCGAATAGTCTATCTAGGTATTGAGATCGGGCCCCAAACTCACAAATTTCACAAAATTATTCAAAAGTCACCCCGAGCCACAAGTTCAAGGGTTTTAGTTCCAAAATTGCTCATATACACAAGCCATGTACAAATATGTGCGCAAGTTAGAGTTTAGGTCGAGTGCGATAAAGTACACCCTCGCCTAGGTACCCTCTTCATACATATCGAAACACATAAGTAACTCACACACAAGAGCGGCCTAAATACTTACCCAACGAACAAAAGAGCAAAAGTACGAAATTCGTGCCACGAGGAGTAGCTAGTAGGCCCCACCGGCTCCACCTAACTCACCAACGTCTGAAATAGAAGATTGTGTCACAATATATCACAAACGGCTACTAACATATTTAAAACAAGCAAAACGGCAAAATCGGCACATACGAGTGCGGAAACGGCATACGCAATCGGAAATGGTAACCTAATCGCTTTGCCGTTAAAACTGTTTTGAATACAATCGAAGCTACGAGTGTCGGATCAAGGTACATGAAGTACCGTTGCGAAGCTAAGAGGAAGGGCTACAATTTTCATAAAAACACTTAAGTCCGGATCTGAACAAAAATAGGTCGAAAGTATGGAAAATCGTTCCAGAAATTCGCACTTTAGAGTGACGGACAGGGTATGTTTGCTGGACCATAACTCCCAGCTCACAAATCCAAATCAAGAAATTCCAAACGCATTAGAAAGCTGAGACATAAGGCTAAAACTTTGATGTTTTGGTAAAGTCCTGAATCCGCTCAGAACAGAACAAAAATTGAGTGGCAAAGTACCCGTCAGAACTGTCCAGATTCAAAGGCAGTTCTGACGATCAATCTTTTTTTGGTCATAACGGAAGCTACGGAACTCGGATTTCGATGCACTTTATACGGTTTCGAAACTAAAACCGAGATCTACATTTCTTATGAAGGAGTCAATACCCAGATCGTACGTTATCAAAACAGACAAAACAGGGCAGAAGCTAAATCCAGAAATGCGACAGAATTCGCAATTTAGAATAGATGCGACTATTTTAGCCATAACTCATGCTACATAGATCCGTTTGACCGAAAATTTTGCTGGTATATTCAAGACTTAAGAGGCTACAATGTTGAAGAAGGCCACTCAGTCCAATTTCGAGTGTAACTAGGTCAAAAATGCAATATACCACACCAGAATCGCAAAAACAGGTTCACAAACCGCATTCTGGTTCAAACATCATAAGTCAGGCTACCTAAGTTCAAACCAAGTGATTCCAAAGCCATCCGAAAGCTAAGATACATGGCTACAATTCATCAGAAGACCTGAATAACCAATTTCGAAGTATTTCCAACCAAAATAATCCAATTACAAACGCAATTATCAAATTCAGGTAGAAACAGGGCAGCAGGGGTAATTTAGTCTTTTCACAAGTTACGTAGCTCCGATTGACTTGAAATTTTGTAAGAATTTCTAAAATATCATTCTCTACAACTTTCATGTTTTGACCCAAGACTAATTCGGCCTCTAACTATGATGAACAGTGCCGGGCAGAAAGGGGGTAATTCAAACCCTAACTTCCGAAATTTCCATTCAAATGCGGAAATTTTCCGCAAACAACTACTATTCACACACCAAGGCTTCATTCTAGATCATTTCCAATCATCATACATGGCCACAATATATAACTCATATGAAATCAGAAAAATCAAGTATAAATAGAAAATGTCATCAATTTCAACCAAAATCATGAAGTAACACCTAATCTCACGACTTCAATTCACATAGGTCACTAATTAAGCATTATTGGAAAGACAAGAGTAGTCCCTTAGTCACTCACCTTATAAGACAAGGAAGGAAGCAATTCAACACCTTAGCCTTCCAAACAACTTCACCAATCACCTCCAAATCACTAAGTGTAGGGGTTTTATGGAGTAATTGCAAGATTAAACGGTTGGATTGTTGAATTTGAGCAAGATTAGAGTTAGAAATTTGGAGAGTTTTCTTTTCTTCTTGCAAGAGAGAGAGAGCCGGCTTCAATAGCTTGGAAATGGAGATGATTTTAATCAAATTTTGTTTCGATTTATTTAGTCAAATGGAAAAAGATGAATAGTGGTCAAGGATCAAGACTTAATCTTTTAGTGACACTTGTCGCTATAATTAATGCATCTCTATCTCTTTGTTTCCTCTCACAACAATCCAAATAGCAACCTCTAATTATCTCATAACACCCGATACTTTAAACCCAGTATCCAAAACTTAACCTAATTGGCCGAATTTTTCTGAACTTTCCGCACTAGTGGGTCCCACATCCGGTATATGTTCTTAATTTCTCAAAAACTAACCGATACTAGAAAAATCATTTAAAACCTATATTTACTCATAAAAATTATCTGGAAAATTTTCTAATAAAGAAAATGTAAAAAAAGACGGGCGATAAATAAAACTTCACTTAAGTTTTCTAATAAATTGTAATACTAGAGGTTTGCTAATCTAGAGTTTGCTAACCATTTCAAACTTGCTAAACCTTTGCAAACTAAAACGAATCCTATATTTACTTATGCCAAAACACACACTAGAACACCGAATATAAATTATAGCTCGAACCTACGAATAATAATACCTAAACTAGGGTTTTCAATCTTAACCAAGATTAGGGTTTTCTCCTTAACCCCAAAACCCTAATTTCACCACACCGAATAATGAATAACCCTAATATCAACTTACGAACTGACTGGAGCCTCACAATCTCCCCCACTTAGGACAATTTCGTCCTCGAAATTAATTCTTTGGTCAAAGCGTACCTTCGAAACCCGCCGAAGGGTCAGTCACCTCTTGTTGACCCATTGCGTATACTCTAACTGGTCCTTTGGGTCGATTTCCTCCTGCGTTCGTC